GAAAATGCTTGCCATCTTGGCGAGGAAGAAGCTCCACAACCAAGAGAGGTAGCCAGTGACCTGAACTAGGACCTTACTGGGGTACCTATGCTATAGGCTATAGGGTCCTGACCCACCTCTGTTGGAACGCCAGTTCTCCCCAAGTCGCCGGTCGCCCCACGAACCCGCACGTGTTCCACGGGTCTCCGCACACAGCCACTGGACCCCTCGACCTCGGCCCGTTCGTTGGGCACAGCGAACCTCGGTCGTGGCGGGTGAGTCGCACTGGAAGGTTCACCCAACGAACGAACACCCTGTTCCTGTTGCAGATCGGGAAACCCCAGCTTGGGCAAAACATTTGGTGTGGCAGGTCAGACACTTGAAGTAGGGTAGAAAAGGAGTCAAAGTTCTGTTTAAAGGAAGTCTCGCCCAAGAAACGACTCCACCACAAAAGAAAGCGGTCAAACAGTCTGTGGGCCACAAAAAACTATGGAAGAAACCACGACGGCAACCCACAAAAACACTCTTGCCAAGTAATCAGAAGGCTAATACATGATTTTCAGATCTCACAAAAATCATCAAAAATCTCTATAAATGATCAATAAAGAAACACAGACCGTCTTGACATGTCTTGACATACTTGTTTCGTTCTGTTCCCTCTTTCGCTGACATACTTGTGCTCCTTGTGCTCCCCTTCACCAGCTCATTCGATCGAAACCACCCAAAGACCCCGTCTCCGACCGATCGAAACGATCTCCCCTCTCTCGGACGACCGGATCACGCGAGTCCCGGAGACGAGTCCGGTCACCGAGAAAAACCCCTCGTCCGGCAACCAAACCCATCCCAGACGCGACTAATGGGACTGCCATATATGCCGATCAGTTGGAGTGGTGCCAGGGGGGTCAATGTAGGCATATATTCCAGTCCCATGGAGTGTATGGGCATGTGGAATGGATACGATACATGGCGCTGCCATGGCGCTGCCCCATGGCACTCCATTCGTCTGCCATGCAGATACCTACCGGACCTAGTAGCTAGCGCTTCCTGTCTGGTGACCTTTTTCAGCAGTGTATAGGGTTGTCCATTGGTAACCCCGAACGGAAGCAGCTGGTATAGATTGACCTTATTCCATAATGGATGGGTCTATTCTATTACCAGGTTGCACGCCCTGTTCCAAATAGAGTGATCAGCTTGGCTTGTGTTGGCTTGTTTCACTGTCGACTGTTACAGGCCTTACAGCTCAGTTGAGACAGACCCAACGTAGATATCCATGTCGACCATTTCACCTCCCTAACCTTTCCCATCCGACCTCCAACCGCCACCGCCAATCCACCGCGCCGGGCGGCAGCTCCGGCGCGGCGGCGCCCAGCAACGCGCAGGCGCTCTTGGCCGCGGCGTCGCGCACCTGGAGCGAGCGAGCGGCTCCGGTGACCGGCGGCGATGCGCGCCGGTTCGGTCGCGGCCGCGGTCCGACGCCTCGGCCGCGGGCGAAGCGCGGCCGTGGCCGGAGCAGTCGGACCATGGGGGAAAGGGGCATCCTTTGGGACTAGAAAGCACACACCTCTGACCCGGTCGGAGAAGACGGCATGAGGTACTTGGGTATTCTCTACAGTCACAAGCTGGCCCTGGGAGATGCAGTGACGAACTGCCCAAGCTATCAGTAAATGCTCAAGTCATGGAGTGTTTGGGTACAGTCACTTCAGACTTCCAACAACACGTTACACTGTTTGACCATATTATCATCTCATGTTAGATTTGAATAACGCTTTGAACTATCATATGCCGGTCATTTCGTTTCATGTGTTCTTGGAACAACACTTTGGACATCTTTTATATAGCTTTTACTAGGCTTTTAGTATCTTTTAGTATGTTTTATCATTATTTCAGAGTGAAACTAGATTCATTTCAGAGAACTTGATGGGAACGTTTTAGTGATCTATCCGTTCACAGCCAAGGTTTAACCCTGTTGATGTCGCGCTCCTTCTGTGGACATTGTAAAACAACAATCTTGCTCATCAGGTATGTGTATGAAGTTCACGCAAGTCCCCATCTAATCATTTATCATTACGCTCACTACCAGCCAGACCTGTTTCTTCCACAGGACACATGAGACCTGTCGCTCGATCTAGTGCATTTGCTGTGGAGCAATTCATGATGTCTTTGACTGGGAAACATCCAGCGACCGGGAGTTTCCGGGGGTATCCGGGAGTATCCCCTCTATAAATCAACCAATAGAACCTCAATAGTCTGGCGCCTTCAGGTTCCGATTTATTTTCCAGTGGACCGTACTGTCCACCTGTACTTCTGTGGGACAACATGGGACAACTGTCCTCTCCAAGAATTCGGTTGGGGCAGGATATCCATTCTTCAGTCCTGGGTAGGCAATAGTAAAAAGGCCGACGTGGCAGCTTACCTCTCGCCTGAACTGTCTCATTTTAGCAGGGGCTCCCGCAGGGCTGCAGCTGACTGAATCTATGACTCCATCCGCCAGCTCAATCCGCACGCCTTACCTACTTAAAACCGCTGGTCACGAGTACCAACAGAGGTGGGTCAGAACCCTATAGCCCATCCCATATGTACCACTACAGGGTCCTATAAGGTCTTTCAACCTCGGTTGGTAGTTCCAAAGACTCAATGGGTGGGTCAAAGCCGTGGGACGTCACACCGGCGTGACGTGCCACGGCCGTCCACGGACGTCCGCACGGGGTCCGGGGGCCCGCGGGGTCCGCGGCGGTGCGGAAGGCAGCACTGTTCTCCTTGACCCCAGGGTGTTGACACACCCAATTCAAACAAAAGACCGAACATGTCACCCTGATGTCACCCTGATGTCAGCTTCCAAAAGTGCTAAGTTCCATGGACTTCGGAATGAACATGGATGAACCCTAAACATCGTTGAGCTCTGCCGACGAACTGGAGGAGTGCATTGTCAATTGTCCATACATCAAGGAACTGTCTCGTGCTTGAAGACTTACTTGATCAACTTACTCCAGTCCATACCCAAAGCCTTGGGTTCCCCGAACCTTCTGGGCGTGCACCCTCTCTGCGCTCTCTTTTTTTTGCCATGCACGTGTGAGACCGGGATTGGCCACTCTTCCCGAGTCGTCCGACGCGGAAGCGTTCTTGGAACGAGCGTCGGCCTCGCCTTCGGCTGTGGCGTGGGGAGGGATACTCCTTTCGGCTTTAGCCACAAAAGGAGACTCGCATGTCGAGCAACTGATGGATTGGTATGCTTTGGTGGAGTCGGAGTCAAGAAAGAGATGCAAAGACGAGTAGTCCATGCACCCTTTCTGACCCGTTGTATAGTGAGACTCAGGTAGATTCAACTGTGCAACAAATGAATAGGTTCTTCTTTCTTCACCGTGCTTGAGATTGAGATTGCGTGCTCGACTTTTTTTGAAAATCATTGGACTTGGGTCAGTTGGCTTGCTCCTCTACCAAAAAAACACCTGAAATCAGATGGGTGTCATCTACCTTGTCCTCTGCGTTCTGGACACCATCCTGCATGTAGTCGGTTGACATGTTTCAGCCTTCAAGGCAATCAGTTTTCCTTTTGAACCTTTTAAACATGGTTGATCATCTTGTCTAAAATCCTTGGGGCAAAACAATGGGAAGTCTTTATGGGAAGTCTTTATGTACATAGTAAAGACCACGTTAAAAAAAATAAACGGTGGGCCACCGACTTCAAGGGCATTCAATCACTTCACGAACGGTTGAGCCATCCTGACCCGCTCCGCTTCAGAGTCGACCTCTGCAACTCAGCGGAGCAGCTGCGGTGCAGCGGAGCAGCTGGGGAGCTGCGAAAGGACCACCATTCCGTGCAAGCGTCGGCCGCGCTGAGGTCACACTGAACCCCAAAGCGGAGCCCTTGGCGCCCAGCATGGGTTCCAATGGCTTTGGGGCTCTGGTCTTGAGATGAATTTGGGTCTGATCCACTTGCTCCACACCAGAGCATTTCACTCCCTTACGAAAGTCGAAAGTGACAGAAATCCATGTTTCCTGCCCAAACAACGGTTTCCTTGTCAAAAACAACAAGGAACAGCCCAGTCTGTTCATGCAAAAGCAAACACATATGCCGAAAACACATTGTAGCCACAAAGTACGCCGGGCCAACCCAGATGTTCAACCCTCTACATCAATGTCTTGCATCGGGATGCCGATGATGCACAAAAGTTCTTTGACTCACCGAAAGTGTTTTCCAAGAGCAGCGCACGATTGGTTAAACTCCTATCACCCCCAGTGCCAAAAGAGGTTGAAGGGTCACTGAACCTCTCTTGGTGATGTCCCACCTTGGAAGTAATCAGGTACCATCGAATGCCAGGGTACCATATACCTCTGTACACGACCGAGGGGATGCCCTCCAACCAACCAATGGTCAAAGGATGTCAAAGGTCATCTGTGGGCGGCCGACCATTTCCATGCCACGATCTGCTACATGTTTGCAATCTCCGGGCTTGGCCGAGCGCGAAGTGTGTTGATCATGCTGAACTATGGCGAACTTCCAAGTTAAAGTACCAAGACTTCAAAGTCTTTCATGTCATCGTGACCATTTGGAGGTGCGAATTTCAAGCTTCATGCCTATTATAACACTCGGCAACGATGAGTTTGTTTGTTTGCATGTTGCCGAGTAAACCCACTGAACCACAAAGCACCAACTCCTGTTGAAACACATCAATTGCAAGCACAAGGAGTTATATGAAAAAACAGAACCGGTTACAAGTTACAAACCAACATAGAAACGCAGTTCGTTCAAAAAAAACTAGCTTTTGATGGGTCTATCCTCATGTTTCACCCTAGCCTGCGGGAATGTATGGCTGGATCATCCAAACTGTGCAGAATTGATGTCTTTCCCAACCATAAAGCCAGCCCAAAGGCGGACATGTTGCACAGCGAAAGATGCAAGTACTGGTCCAAGTATCAACACAACGCTTGGAACCACACGTCACCCAGTCACGTGCACGGGTGATGGCTCACCGATTCTAGTCTTCGACGTCCGATGGTCCAAACCGCCCTTCCACGTGTTTCGTGTCACTGCAACGATGCTCGGCCAAGGCAACTAAGCAAGGCATGCACCAATGCAAGGCATTCACCGTCTGATTGAGTGATTTTCGCCCTGTGGGGACGAAGTGGACAAAGCAAAAGGTCTTCTACACATAGGGCGGCCAGGTGAGGGCCCGGACCCCTGCGTTTTCGGTGGAGAAGGTCCGACCCCTGCCATAGAGAGCCCGTTCGGATTCTTAGAAATCACTCCATGGGATTGGCATCGAAAACCTGGAGATCAGCTCAGGGTGATTGACGGGGTCAATGTGAGGGGCAACTGGTGCCATACATTCCACCATGGCAATTAGGCGCGACCTTTTCTTAAATTACCGAATTTCGCTTTCACCCACAGAGGTTGAAGAACCCTATATAGACTAGGTACCCCAGGTTTTCCGGGTCCTATTTACGGTCACTGAACCTCCCTTGGCAATGTTGATTGGTTCACATTGTTCTACAAAGAACTCGCCGATGTCCGTCGTGGTTCACCCTGGATGATCCTGATCTAAATTCTCCCACCCGAAGCATAGACCAGCGGAGGACTCGGAGGACCCGGTTTGCCCACCAGCTAAGTCAATGCACATGTCATAGCTTCCATGCCTAACAGAGGTTGAATGACCCGAACTAGACTATACCAGTTGGGTACCCCAGTGGGGTCCTATTTACGGTCACTGGCTACCTCTCTTGGTATTTCCAGAGAACTTGAAGATTCCTTTCTCCTCGAAGACATGCTGAACACCCTTGGAGATCAACGGATGCACAGCTGAGGGTTCCTCTGAAGCACCCTTCTGTGCACATCAAACTGTATCTTCTCCATTAGAGGGAAACTGAAGTAGACTTCTAGCCTTAGGCAATTACCAATACATTCATCAGGCAAACTGGGATGCAAACTGACATCGCTCGAATGGTAATCTTCAACAACAATAGCTAATAAGAGACCGGTCACCCCTCTTGTGTATATATATATATATTATATATGTATGGTACGGATCTAAATCCTAAACACTGTAACAGTTGTTGTTGTTGATGATGATGATGATGTAGATGCTGATGCCGATGAATATGATCAACAAAGACCTATTTTCCAAACCACCAGACGATGAATATGCCTGCCGAGGGTCACCATGAATAGGATCACCCAGCCACACAATAGGATCCCAGTACACATATGCCAACGATATGCAAAAACGACTCCTTCAGACACAGACCACACCACCATGTTCCTCTAGATGGAGAGGTAAAACACCTCTCCCATCGGTCTCCATCTGCTTCGAAGCATCGTTGGGTGTTATTCACGGACCATGACTTGATCCTGCAGACGGTCTGTTGGCAACATGAGGCAAAAAAGACTCTTCAAGACCGATGGACCCATCAAAGTCCTAGCATAGGACCAGTCATAGGACCAGATAGGACCATTGGCATGGGGCTGTAGGACCATAGAGAGGACCATCATCTAGGACCATAGATAGGACGGATAGATCCAGGCTCTCGTCACACGTGTCCACAGTCCAGCACTCGTCTCACCACCGAGGCGCGACACTGGGCGCCATCCCCGCGCCCTCCGTTTTCCTCACGTCATCAGCGCGGCATCCTTGGGTGAAGAGGGCCGAGAGGGCGGGAGACGTGGTGAAGGCGGTCTATAACTCCTTAAGACTTCTTTTGGGATGTTTGTGGATGGAAAGAAAACAGAAATTCAACTAACCAGCGTCATAAGTTGGTGTGATGTTGGTGCAGGAAATTTCTTCCAACTGGTTTTTGGTCGTTTCGAGATGAGTTTTAAACATGTTGGAAGTTAGAAGATGCCAGGTAGTAGAGGTTGATCTTTCTCGGCTTTTGGACCGAACTGAATGGGATTCCAAAAAAACGGATCCAAAGATCCCAACCCAAACACTCCAGGGTTTCGGGGATTTGTGCCCCCCATGTAGGCATAATCTCCCTGAAACAAGCATGGAAGTGGAAAACCACCGGTTTGTAGAGGAAAACAGTCTTCCAAGGGGCCATGTTCCACGTAACCATGATTGTTTGTGTATATGGCAGTTCCATGGAGTGTCTGGGCAACAAGTTCTTTCTTTCACTTGGCAGGTCACGCCGGTCGGTCACGCTTGGGTCTATCGGTCTATCTGATCGGTCTACCTGTGGCCCAGTGGATGGAGCCTGGTTGCAGGGTTTGTTCATAAAACAGTGATGTTCTTGTTTACGGGTCCTGTTTCAGGTCAGTTCGGACAGACCCCAGGTCATGCCTCTATATATAATTACACCTAATACTAGGCAGAATCCCACGACCTCTTGACATGCGACTGGCTGGAACAAGAATGTACGCAGCCTGCACACCCAGCTTACAGCACCTCCGCAGCGCGCGCAATCAGCTGTCAAGGGCTGTACTGCTTGCGCGCATACTTTTGTGCGCATAAACTTCTTCGCGCAAGATCATACGTTGTTGTTCCTCAAATAGGGATAGCTATGGGGTTCTGGCTGCGAATAAGAACGAGCTGGCTGCGCGCGTCCGAAAGGGTGTCGGTGCTGGTGCTGGTGTTGTGGTCCTGGGTGCTGGTGCTGTGAGCTGGGTGGGTGCGCGCGTTTAAGACGGGCGGCGGCGCTGGTCGGGTGCTGGCGCCGCTGCCGGTGTTGTCAGCTGGCAAAGCGCACCGGTGCTGGTGTCACAGCTGTCGGCCAAGACAGAACAGTGTAAATACCCCACAGCGCTAAATAAACAAAGGACGCTCAAGCGACAACACCGCATGATGTTGCGTGCATAAGTTCATGCGGCCCATGACTGCTGGCACTTCATTGTCAGAACCGGCGCTTGGTCGCCCTTCATGGCTGCAAGGAGCGGTTTGTTACCCTTCACTGTCTAGAAGCGGCGGTTGTTATCACTTCACTGTCAGAAGCGGGCACCAGCACCGAGCACCGGCACGCCAGCTCACGGCGCCAAGCACCAGCACCGGTATACCCAGCACCCAGCACCCTGTCCCTAGGAGCTCGGGAGGAGGTTGCCTAAAGGTATAGTGGCTAGGGAGGAGGTTCGCTAGGAGCTAGGGAGGAGGTTTCCTAGGAGCTAGGGCGGAGGTTTGCTAGGACCCAGCACCGGCGCCCACGCGCACTCCACCTCACAGCACCGGCACCGGCGCCGGCTGTCTCGTTGGGGTCTTGCTTCAGCAGGCATCCGAACAGTAAGTCAGCATTCAGGCCGCATGGCGGCGTTCTTGACGAATCTCTGTGTGCGAAATAGCTCGTTCCAGGACGTTGTTGTGATATAGACCATGAACCGGCCGACATCCATCAGCGCAGAAATCGTTCATGCCATTGACCTCCGGACGTTGCTGAGAGCAATGCCGAGACGGCTCACCAGCTCGGAGGTGTACGGCTCCTGCTTGGCGAGGATGTTGGCCAAGCTCAAGAAATCGGAATCTGACTAGCACTGAGAAGCATAGAAGGGCGACCCTCGGCGTTTGCTTGTCATCTTTTTCTGCCTTCTTTCTTGAGCTCGACGACGGCGTATAACCTGCTCCAGGATCATCATCTCTAAAGCAAACCTTTTCAATTGCCTGCCACGCCGCCCTCTTTTGCGCAAGCTTTTCATCCTTCCTGCGCCTTTTTGACTCGGGCCATTCGCGCGCCTTCTTCAGTTTCTCGGGCAACCTGCTGGGCTTTTCTTTTCCTTTCAGCCAGCCCTGCAATTCCTTGAGCTTGTGGTCCGTCTGAGCCTCCAGGCACTTGTGGATCACACACATTGTGACAACCAAAAAAGGATGAAAACGATTGGGCTGAGGTGTTCAAACCCTGTTCAAAACCCATTGTGTCAGTGATGATCATTAAGAAATGGTCGGGAGAGTGAAAAGCTGGATGTTCACTGGCTACCTCTGTTGGATATAGCCCCACAACACCCCACAGGCAAGTTTACCCAGCTCCACCCTTCACTCCGGACAACAAAAAGCGCCGCAAGTCACTGGCATTTGCTGTCCAGGAGCCAGTCAAAAGCAGAAAGACACGTATTCCATCCCATGTATTATATATATGTTCCCCATGCCAGGGATTTCTCCTCGCTCTGGAAAATAGCATTCACCCGACAACCGCCACCTGAGAGGTCTTTGCGGGGCTTAGACACCTCTTATAGGCCCCGAGTTGGGGGGAGTTGGCAAAATATATGCCCTATGACACACATGCGTACGCGTACATAGACGCGCACACACACACAATCACACTCACACTCTGCTCTGTGTCTTCGGCCAAGCATCTAAATCCTCCAATAAGCTATCTACATCTTGCAAAGTCTTCGGCCTCCACGGCTCGAGAATGACCGGCACGGCTCGGCTCGGTACGTCGAGGCTGTCGAGGCTGACGATGACTGGGCGGCCGAGCATGTTGTTGTTTGTTCGGCACCCACGGCGATCCATTATACCATATAGGTTGGGTCTATCCTAATACCAGTAACAATGGATGATGATGGTTAGGTTGTAGGCCTTGTTCAAAAATCGTGATAGTTGTTTACTGACTGTTATAGGTAATAGGACGCAGGATGACGCAGGTATATATACCTAAAAGAACCAGTCGCAGTCAGGACTCCAGGCCTCAAACAGTTTCAACAGGCCGGCCTGTTCTTACTAAAAGAGAGTCCCACCAGTAAACTGCGTTGAGGAACAGAATCACAGTACTCCTGTCCTTTTCTGTATCTGTCTGTGACATTACGGCATTGATGGGGGAACGGACGGAAAATCTGACGAACATCCAACACAAAGCTCTTCCTGGGCCCCTTAGGTGCACTACCAACAGAGGTGGGTGTCAGAACCCTATGACTATCCCAGTCTGGTACCCCAGGTTTCCGGGTCCTATTTACGGTCACTGGCTACCTCTCTTGGTAACCTCTCTTGGTATGTGCCAAGCAAACGTGCCACCTCTTCTCGTACTGAGTGGCATGTCCCCAGTACGTGCCCTAAGGGATCGGTCGGGGGGACAAGCTTTCTGCCTCAAGCGAATCCTTCTTGGACGATCCGCGGTGCAAGCGCTACATGGGTCCCAGCTGCTACGGGTGACCTCTGGCCCGGTGCTTCTTCGCATCTACAAAAGAAAGTGGTTCGGCACCATGAAATGCCCCAAAATGGCCCCACTGAAGGACACAAAACCATCGACACCTGCACTGATTCAACAAACAAAACCACTGTCCTGGCGGAAGAATTGTGGCAGCCCATGGTCGCCCATGGACTGCCCATGCATCAGCGGCCATCGAACTGAAACTGTAAGACGAGCCAACAGAGGTTGAGGGACCCTAGTTCGACTATCCCAGGCCAGGGTACCCCAGGTTTTCCGGGTCCTATGGTCCCGGTCACTGGCTACCTGTCTTGGAGTGTGTTGGGGAGCCTTCGACCGCCACAGGTTCAACCAATCGCCGTGGCGAACTTCGACTGCACGATGCCATATCGACCCATCCAAGAGAGGTATAGCCAGCGACCGGACCTGGTCCACCTGGGAAGGATCGTCGAAGCAGTCTAGAGTTCTAGATGGTTCTAGTCTAGTCCACCTCTGACTCATTCGTCGGCCGTTTCTCCAGGGAGTGAGTTTCGACAGGTGACCCAGGTGACCCACCCGACATCCCGGGAAGAATCCAACACCTGCCTTTCCGGCGAAGGTGCATGACGGCTGGTCGTCTCCTCTTCGAGAGACGAGAGAGGAAACCGAGAGACGTTGGGCGAGTGGTGAAACAGCACCCCGTTGGTGGTTGAGAGATGTCGTACCGTTTCTTTGTTAAAACAAATGGTGCTGTTCTTGTTGACCGACTGCTACAGGTATTGGGACAAACCCAACATGGCCCATTTACCTATATATTGCAGTGTTTTCACGGGTCTTGCTGTAGATATTCCAATCCCCTGCACGGTCTGGTTCTGCCGCAGTCACGGGACCACACTCGGCGTGCGAGCGAAGACATAGAATTGCGATGACTTCAAGAACAACTGGTTCTCCTCATGCCACCCGAGTTTGATGGGTGAGCATTCTTTGACAATCCCTATGAGCCAAACAAAAACAAGTACCAGCAGTCACAAAGGGGTGCTTAATGGAGCTTAGGGGTGCCCATTATCCACTCACTTAGGGACTAAACACCACCCCTTTGTGACTGTTGGTACTTGTTCTTAATATGTACTCGTTAAACTGGTTTTGCCGATTTCACAGGGAATCCTTTTTGACATGTCCGTGATTCTTTGATCATCCTTGGGTGGCCTTGTTCCAAAAAGGCGAACCACACACACTGTAGATATCAAACATGCTTTAAACATGCTTCATTTGGTTAGACGTGTGTATATTATAATGTGTACTTTATAGCATAGAAGAACGCACTCAAGCAACCAGGAAATGCAAACACTCAATTAGCACCACCAACACTCTGTTTTCCCCCCGAGAAGATGCAGGGTGCATGCCGAACGACCTCGCGCGTCGAGTGTTTCTCCTCTTCGAGAGAGGCCAACAAGGAGTCCACATCCATCCGCCGGCTGGCTGGTTGGGGATCCTCCATTGACGCTGAAGTCATGTGACATGCGCGACCGCGCGTCGGTGGGGTGGCACTTGATTTGAACCCGTTCGGGCGTATCTGTCGTACCGAACCTCAGGTTCGGGACGGGGAACTGGGGTTCCAGTCAGGTCCTGTCACCCTAGACTTCCGTGAAAGATCATTAAAAAACTTCTTGACCTGGTTTTTGTAGTGTAACATCCTTAGTTGATTCCATCATAAAACCTACTAAATTCATGGTGTTTTTAAGCAGGTCCAGTCATACCGAACCTGAGCTTCGGTACGACGATCCGAGCCCCAAGGGGGAAGCAGTACTTTTGATTGGTTTCCACGCGCGCCCGTCGGTCCAATATCATCCCCGTGCGTAGAGGTTGAACCATCAATACCCATTTCTTTTTCCGTTCGACTATCCCAGTTGGGTACTCCAGGTGACGGGTCCTATTTACGGTCACTGGCTACCTCTCTTGGTATGGTTCTTCGACTGTGGTTCGGTAAAGGTCCAAGAGAGGTAGCCAGTGACCGTAAATAGGACCCGTCACCTGGAGTACCCTGGTCTGGGATAGTCGAACAGTCGGGTCCTGACCCACCTCTGTTGGGTTGAACATATCTGATCATGACACCAACCCCAGCGACTTTGACTTGGGGGAGTTCTTTGGAACTTCTCCTTGCGCATGTCGTGTGATCGTTGAAGCCACCAACTGGTAATATATGCCGGTATGGCCAGGCCATCTCTCGGGTCTATCCTACGACCAGGGGCCTGAACCAAACCATGAATCTAAAGGTGTGCACATACAAAAACTATGTTTGTTGCTAGGGAAAACCAGGTTTTTGATGGTTTGGTTCAGGCCCCTGGTACCAATGAACCTGGATGATGGGGCCTGGTTGGATTTAGTGGTCCAACAAAAACCAAACCCAGAGGCTATGGCATAGACAACGGCAGAGCAACAGGGAGTCTGAGGACTGAGGATACTGAGATACTGATTTCTAGGCTGGGCACTTTCCAAAGCCTTCTTGGCAAAGACCGTGGAGCTTGGCAAGGGCGTTTTGGCTCATCATCCTCCCTCCGCTACGTCGCAACTAGCGTCCACAGGTTTTGGAACCGTTTTTGGAGAGGCAATGCCTGTGGCCCTGAACGAACTGCTACACCCTCGAAGACGATCCCATGGACTCTGAAAACCACTGGTTGGTAGAGGAAAACCATCTTCCAAGGCGCCAGGACGTCAGGGTCTATGTGAGTTGGACCGGGAGTGTATATGTTGCTATTGCTTCGGTCCAAGCCCCGAGGTGCCCAACACTGTATCAAAGCGAATCCGACGGATTCAAACACCCAAACACCTGCTGTTTTAGAGGTGCAAAGTGTGAGGTCACAAACAGGAGATTTGGCAAAGGCTCTTTGTCACCTGACTCACCGTACTCACCCTACTTCCTGATCACCTGACTCCTGATTCACCTGATTCACCTGACTCCTTGGCACATGCTGATCCCCTGACTTCCTCACCTTCGGCTAAGCAGAACAGCCCCTAAACTCCAACAGATGTCTTCGGCTGAGCAGTTTCTCCGGGCCCAAACACGTTAACAGTCTGAGTCAAAGCACCTTAACATGCCCCAAAGCCCCTCTTCAAACTTGGCCAAAGGTACCAAAGGATCTTATTTAGCAACTGTCCAGCAGCTTAGCTATACCCCAGACACTCCATGGGACTGCCATATATGCATGTATGCCGGTGTATGCGGGTGTATGCCATGTATAATATGCCTACATTGGGTTGGTTTTGGCGGTCAATATAGGCAAAAAACAGTCCCATGGAATGTCTGGGTACTGACTTGGCAACAAAAATCCATTCCAAACACGCTAAACACCACCCACCCCAACCCGCCTCGAAGGAGGTGCGCGCGTCGCTTCGCAGGGACTGGATGCTGCGGGAACTGAGTTGCGGATAGCCTCGGCCAAACATGAAAAAAACGTCTCCCAGAGGCTCATGGACCCGAACCAACTGCTACAAGTTGGAGGTCCAGTTCACCCTAGTTGTGGTCAAAGCCCTAGCGAACTGAGGGTCCAAAGCTTCTGGGCCCAAACATATCCAACGGACCCAAGATGACCAACTCCATGGTGGCGTCAAATAGATAGCCTATATATGCATGAAAACCATCAAACGAAACGGAAGAACAAGAACAGCTGAAACTGAAGCTGTAGAATAAGAAAATTTAAGGACCGGATAACCCCACATGTACCGTTTTCTCAAGTCTGTGTTATGTAGCACAAAAACATGTCTGTGAAGGTCATGTGTTCGGTCAATTCTTTTTCTGCACAAAACAAGTAATGTGGTCAGCATGTCCTGAAATGAGGATGAATCGGAACAGTCCCAGTAGAGATCGAAGTTGCATGAAGTTGCGCATGTCCTTTTGTAGATGAAGTTCGTTTTGATCCTGCTTTAACAAAACCACGTTCTCTGTAGAATGGTTGGAGAGGCAGTCAGAGTCCAAGAGAGGCAATGGTGCAGCAGCGACTTGTCGCGGAGATCGCATACAGATTGGATGCGTCGTTGGCAATAATGCTGCCAGACCTCTTTTTCTTTCATAAAGCGATCGCAGAGACAAAGCACATATAAGAAAGTCAGTGAGAATACTTCTGTATTTGACCACCACCCAAAACAGGAAGACATTCAGCAAGAAGGCCAAACAAGTCTGACGTGCTTGAGACGTATATCTTCGGCAGTCGAAAGTTGAAAGCAAATAGTAGATAATGTGTTCATATATACAAGATTTCTTCAAACGACAGATTACCACAACCCCCGCGTTTTTTGTGTACAAATTGCGCTTTTGCTGACAATGGTTTTCTTCCAATTACTCTTTTGCAACTGGGGTGCATTTTTTCGGACCAGCTTGCACCCACGTACATCGTGGTCAAGTGCACTCTCACTTCTGAGCCAATTGGCCAATGTCTTTTGATGATGTCTGCTACTTGATCATGAGTTGCCAGTACGCTATGGCGCAGTCAGCGGAAACACAGGCTTGAAAGCGCCATCTTCAACCCTAGCTGCTAGGAAACGAAACAGGGAATGCAAGTCAGCGTGTGGTACCAGCCGGAGGACTTTGTTTAAAATATAACGTAGGTTATACGTTCTATAACGTAGGTTTAAAATGGTGTAAGTTTGTTAAGTAATCGCCGCTTTTATAACTAACTTATTGGATTTATCATTTCTAGTTAGTTCCTGCTTGAGATGAACTTAGGTTCGACTTGGATTGAACTTAAGTCGCACGTTTCTTTTTGTATGTTTTTACTTAAGACGCATTCTTTGTTTTTGTAATGTTTTTGGCTGCTCCGGGAAAGTCTAAGAGAAAATGTCTGCTCCGGGAGGATTAGGCGAATGTAGGCCGAATGTGGGCGAGGAATATAGAGCTCTAAGTTGTCCACTGCAGGCCCTTCTAAAGTAAACAAGCAGGCAATGTAGGCTGACTACTACGAAGGACCATGTGGCCAAACCGTCTCGAAAAGACCCATCCGAGAAGATTTCAAGTTCCTGCGAGTGCTCTGGCTCCCAATCGTATAGATTGATCCACGGGGCTTTCTCACACCATTGGCTGGTAGACTCAGGCAAACTCTGCAGGGACCTCCAATCTGTTCTAAGATCTTCTTTGGGATCCCACTCAATACAACGCATGTTGTCTTTGCTCCAATGTGCAGTGACACAAGCATTGGCCCCCTCTTGTTGCGGGATCGAGAGCAATTCATGCAAACGGATTGTCCTGCGTCCAAAAGGAGTGATCGCTGGGCGCTTATCGTCTCCTGGTTGTCCGTCCGGATTTCCATGTGGCGGGAGCCCTCGTGTGGGTTCCTTGGTCCATAACATCGTGGTTTTCACAGCGTTCAATTGCAAAAGTGTGAGCGTTCCAACGTCTAGCTGTTCCACTCTGAGCTCCGGTTGCTCTTGTGGCGGTATATCACTGCTACTTGATCTGAACGAAATATCCTGATCGTCATCGCAAGTAGTAGTCCAGTTTCTGACACGATTCGGGGGGGAAAAGTTTCAAAGTGAGAACATCCCCTGGACCGAAAGACACCGTATCCTGAAATTGGACCCGTTGATGGTTATGCCATAGCTCGTATTCATTCAGAATAGTTACTTGTCTTCTGATCCAATCGATCAGTGCACTAATTCTGATTGCCTGCGTGGCCACATATGTAAAGACTAGAGAATTCTCAGGATCGTGTGGTCTCCAAACGTAGATGACAACAGGTACATCTCTCCATCTGCAAACATCAGCCAACAAAATCGCAGGGACATTCTGGTGTAATTCATCCTTCACTGATTTGACACCTCACTCCGGAGCCAAGTTCTCCGGAATCCCTGAGATTCGATTCATAGGCACAATTGTTATCGTCGCCCACTGAACCGGAGGCTTTGGAGCCGCAAATGTGTTTGTCAAGTGAGCGAATCAAGGAATTAAGGAAGCCAGTTGGCCAAATTCCTGATGCCATAATTCCAAATATATTGATTTGGATAAGCTCACCGCCAGCCGCTACTATCTGTGACGTGTAGATGTAGCTCCATGCTAAAAGGTGGGGTGTAAACAAGAACTTTTCTTCACGGATTGCATTCACGGTTGCTGCGTACGCCAGGACCACAGTAATGAGAAAGAACCCATCACGGGACACTGACAAGTCCCATCCTTCCGCGTCATCACTGCAGACTTTGTTCTGTGAAGACTCTGCTGCGAGTTCTTCAAGATTGGCTAAACTGGAACAAGGCACCTTGCTCTTCAATCCTTTTGTCCGGGTCGTTCGGGATATGCCCTCGCACGTCCAGGTGCTGGTGGCTTGCATGCCTATACTTATGCTTGAAGATCTTCTGTACGACTTGGTGCCCGAATCTAAGTCCTTAGCTGTGTCAGGATGAGCATCACACCCTCATCGTGGTGGCCGACGCCAATCGAGGACTCCTTGCTGGCCCCCGCTTGGTACCGTTTGATGGAGGTCTTTGCCAAAGGATGAAATAAAAGACAAGCGATCACATTGTCGATGATCGAAATGTCCCAGATCAAGCGCCACCGTCCATCCTTAGCCTTGGCCGGGCTGTGGCCTTCAGCTTGGTGAACAGCTGTGCCGGATCTCGCAAACCCGATTGTATGCATTGTGTTGGAGTGTAGTATGAACAAGTCTTCGCGTGGAAGCACTGCAGAATCATGCGACAGTAGACCATGTATTCAAGTTCTTCCAGGCCCTCTTGGCTGTCAAGCCAAGCGGACTTGGTTCCAGGTCGATAGCGCTGGGACCATCCAGAGGACTTGTCGGAGTCGAAATTCTGAATGGCCTCATGAAGGCAGTGGGAGAAATTTGTCCCATCACGCGTTGGAGATCCATGTGTGATGTTGAGAGCTGTGATGTTGAGAAGTGTGATGTTGAGTGTGTGATGTTGGGTGACGACGAGGAGGAGGCGGCAGGATGTTGGGTGAACACCGTCCTCACCTCACCTCTCACCTCAACTCACTCACTCACTTACTCAGCCGTCGGATTCGCCACGTTCGCAGGGATTCGTCAGGCCGGGTCGCTCTCGGTGTCCGACGACGTGGCCTTCTCCGAGTCCTGCGGCGCGAAGCGGCGAGACAGGGATCAAAACGAGGTTTGGATTGGTGACCGGTGTTTCAAAGGGCTGTGGACTGTGTGTTGTTCAATGGTGAAGTCGAAAGTCAGTATAGTTTTTATTGTATCCACTGCAATAAGTTAAGGAGTATATGATATCCCTACCCTATCCTGAGGGGGGGCGTCGAAAATTGTAAGTTACATTTTCCTGCGCGCAGGGCCTCAAAAAAATGTAATTACATTAACTTTGAGGTGGCCTCAAAAAAGGTAACTTACATTTTTGAGGCCTCATGGGTGATTTCCTGGGGAATGACCTCAAAAATGTAAGTTACATTTTTGAGGCACAGAGGAGCGCTTACAATTTTAGACCCCCCCCCATCCCCACACTAATTTCTGCTCACGACCACGTCCCGCATGGTCAAATGCGGCATTTCAAGGAAATGCCTGCCGAAACATGTCAGCCGTCAGCCATCAAGTTGAATGATGCTGCCCGCGGCCGGCTGCATCATTAGCATTTTTTGAACTGAAAAAACAAATATATAAAATATATATGTTGTTTTGTTACAATTCTTTTTGGCCGGGGGGTCTTCCATACACAACTCCATACACAACTCCTTCTGCAGCAACAAGCCACACAAAAACAAAGCAGATGAGGGAACAGCAGTGGGTCTGAGTCATCATCAACAAAGAAGAACAGGAAGCACACCCAAAGCAAACTGCCAAGAAACAGGAACATACATGTTCCCACTGAAGACCCCAAAGGAAGGCAACAAAGCGAAACCCAAACATAACAGACGATCACACTCCATACACAATAAGCAATAATGGAGAACAATAAAGGAGAGGCTGCCTGTTCTATTGGGCAGGAGAACAAGGATATTCAACGCCGTTTGATCCCCTGGTTTCTTGCCCCCCTGCTTGCGGTTCGTGTGGTCGGACGTGTGTGCTTTTCAGTATGCTAAAATGTAAGTACCTCAGGGGGACACCCCGGTTCCTTGTAAATTCTGGGGAGTTGGGCATGTGGCCAAAATGTAAGTTACAATTTGTGAGGTCAAACTTTCTCACAGAACCCATGTATTCCCTGTAAAATCTGAGGGTTTGGATGCGTGGACTAATTGTAAGTTACAATTTTTGACGTCTGCAAATCTCACCTTTCGCCTGTGTCCTGGTCCTGCATTTTTGGAGGCTATGTTTTCCTTGGTGTTGAGGCATCAGCAAACAGTTGCCAAATAATACTTTTAGTTAATTACTTATTTAGAAACTATTTCATTAAGTGACTCCCACCCGCAAATAATTTCTTAGTGATTGGCGTATCTTCGATCTGCCAACGCACCCTAGGGGGGGGGAGTAAAAAAAATGTAAGTTCAGGCCTCCCAGGTCCCAAGTTACATTTTCCAGACCCCCCCCCCTCCCCTCGATCTGACGACCCACCCAGAAGGGGTTGGAAAAATGTAAGTAAGCACGTCCCAGGCAACAAGTTACATTTTTTTTGCCCCCCCCCTCCCCCCCCTTGACTAGTTTCGATGGTGCCTGGGGGGGGGGTAACTTACATTTTTTGACCCCCTAGGGGGGTACCCTAAAATGTAACTTACTTTTTTGAGGTCCCCCCTCCCGGAAGTAGCTCAAGGGGGTAGGGATTATATGATGTATACTTGCAGTACCTAGAAGCAGAAATGGAGAGAGAATCATGGAAGTGAAAGTGCTCACACAAAGCACCATGATATATGATGAATCAAAGGGCCAGTCCGTCATCCCTGAGATTTAATGCTTGAGATTCCACTCCAAACCCGCACAAGTCCAGTTCGGCAATACTTTTCCGAAGCAAAGACATTCCCGTTTGGATCGCCAGGCTGTCAACCCATTCTTTCTATAGTCCTTAACCCCCATGTCCCAAACAGCAAACATCACAAACCTCAAGCACTTCATGCACTTTTTATCTACACTGCATGGGTGTGTGTTGAAATAGGGAGAACTCCCAGGAATCGCAATCCCCTGGCTTCGGAACATGGGCCAGTCTACCTAGTAAGGGCCAGGGTGTCTCCCTAAAACACATCTAAACTTTCCTGAGTGATGTATAGACTCTTGATCGATAAGCCCCCCAGACATGGATTGTAGAACGAGGGTTGAAACATATCAAAAGTCTACCAAGGGTCTACATCTAACCCTATGATCAGGTAGATGTCTATATTTACTTATTTATCTATTCCCTGGAGGATAATTTTAACCCTATGCAAGAGTCTGCATTTACTTACCTGATCCCTTTTCCAACCACCCCTGGCCGCAATTGCTAGTCCCATGGGGTGGCTTTTGATGCTTTTGTCCAAGAGAGGTTAAGTGACCTTATAGGACTCTACTGGGCTACCCTGGCCTGGCATCGTCAATCAGTCGGGTTCTGACCCACCAGGCTAGTCAATCAGTATCGGGTTCTGACCGTTCGAGGTTGAATGACCCTACAGACTATACCATAATTAGGTACCCTAGATAAACGGGTCCTATACATACTGGCTACCTCGCTTGGCACCTCTGGCCTCTCACCCCAAAACCAAACACAAAGAACCGCCGTGGCAAAAGCGTCCTTGGCACGAAGCCTCGTGGCCACCGAGGGGCTCTCGCTCTCGGTCCTCCGGCTGATGCCCTGCGCAAGAACACGCGCGGGCCCGGAATGTTTGATGGGGAAAGTCTGGAAAGTGGGGGCATTCGGTACCACCATATATGATGTGTAGGATGTATGGGTTGAATATGGTTGAATACTGACGACACAAAAAAACACATCGTTTTCACTGAAGGAGTTTGGAGGTCCCAGGCAAAGGGGTATTGGACCGTCCAGATGTCTCGTGTGGAGATGATCTCCAGGCATAGTTCAGGCAAGCTGACCTGTTCGGGGCCAGGATGGCCAGGGGTGGTATTGGAGGTTTGCGCGTTTCCAATCCCAATCAATTCCGCTTCCAAGCACCATGGATTTGATAGCCTGGATCCGGACCAAAAGGAAGCTCTTTCAAGAGTTTACACCCCCTACACCTCCTGTCCCATCTCCTCAGGTGACCGGTGGTATTCAACCCCCCTGGCACCCATCCACAGGTTCGGTGGGCCGGACAAACCGACCCAAACCCCCAAGACAGGTAGGTGAAGTGCCCAAAACCAGGTCGGAGCGTCACCTGCAGTACTACCTGGGGTCTCCCGATGGATAGACCAGTCCGAAGCCTTCAGGGCTTTTCGGGTCCTGACCCAACTGTTGGGCTCTGAACGGAACGGTCCAGTCGGCTCGACGTGCGACGGAGAACGACTGTGCGACCGTTCGAACGGTAGACCGACCCGTCTGACCCGTCTCCCTGTCTACAAGGCATCGCAAGGCGAAAGGATCTCACATATCGACCATTTGAAATCCTGGTCTTGAATAGGTCTTCCTTATGTCAGGTTCCTGGTTTGCAGGGTCAAATCCTTCATAAGCAAGACCAGGAGTTGAATCCGTCGCCACTTTTTGCAGCATCTGCCAGGGTTTCTTGTATGGAACCTTGAGTTGTCACCCACGAACAGCTGCGACATCTGCCAGGAACCTTAGATGAACTATCCCAAACACTCCATGTGTGGAATATACTTATATTAACCCATCAAAGCAGGCCCACCTGATCAGTATAATATATGCCAGTCGCATATAAGGTATATCTCATGAGTGGATGATGATGGTTAGGTTGCAGGCCTTTCCCTAACATATCCTAAAATAGTCATGATCTAAGAAAATCTGTTACTGACGCACCCCAGGTAATATCATAAAAGGCACGCCCTAGATATATTATATAACATCTATAGACCATCTATGATAATCATCTATGATCATCTACCTGGACCCTCCAACAGGTGTTTCCTGGTGACAACAGGTGCCCAGAAAACACCTGTTAGGGTCTCCAAAACAGCCTGTCGGAGGGTCCTGGTATGATCCCTGTTACTGGTTTACTGGGCACGCCCTAGGTCTATACAGATCGCTGGACCTCTCGGGCCTTCGAGAGGTCCAGCGAGGGCGGCGGCTCGGGCCTCGCGCGCTTGGTGTGGTTGCCGTTGGGGGTGTCCATCCCCACATCAGACGAATGGGACGAACGAAGAGGGACCTACATTGAAGTTCATGTTCATGGGGTTATCAGACATATTATGTAACTATATCAAACATGGGAACAGGGCATGTGTCTTTACATGTTTCCCATTTATATAGCTCATTAATGGTGTTTTTGGTCACGAATGGGGATATCTAGGACTTCTGTGGGGACACACGATCACGAATTGCAAAGCTGCTTGCGCTCCAGATTGGGATCTGACGTGCGCACTCAAGCTACTACCACCAGGTGTTCAAAAGGCATCCCTGCAAATGGAAGAGCATGATGACATGAAAGTAGCCAGGCTTTTGGCAGTTGGCTGCACCTACAATGGCAGGCTGCACCTAGAAAATCTCCCATGCCACAGTTGTTCGCGACTGAAGAACTCATTCTACCTTAAAATCCAAAAATCACCCCTGTTCTGCTAGGACAGATCATCGTTCTTGATATGTCCTAGTCGAAGATCTGGGTGATAAAGGTGCTTGAGGAACCGGAACACATGATTCAGGGGATTCACCCCATGCATATCTACCAGCACCCTAACAGGCTGTTAGTTGAGGGCTGTTGGACCCTAACAGGTCTCAATTGGTGACCTGTTGGAGGGTGCTGGTATAGGTGATCCATGAGATGGAGAGCTACCGATCTTCCTCTTTTCTTGGATGCCAAGGTCCACCAGGACGAGGCTAACTCAGATTCAAGGACTCCATTGTTTGGATTTGGACGATTGGAACACCAAAAAGGACTTTCCCATGCCTGGGGATGGGAAGAATAGGAAACATACAGCATCATCGATCACCCTGAGCAAAACCAAGAAAACTTCTCAGCCCCCAAAGGAAATCCGCCCCTGCCCCCGCAAAATGGAACAAATAAATAAATAGCCCACAGTTACTGTAGGGAACTCCGTGTAGCTGCTTTGTTCCCGGCTGAAGGGGGGAAGATGGATCTGCCCCCCTGAGCCCAATATATGTCATATATCAACTAAATACAGGATCGACCGGATCAAATAGACCTAGCGTTTCCACAACGTGCCCAATGCAAACCTATCAGTAGTGTAGGGATCCGTGGGTAACCCTGACAGGAAGCAGTACATCCTTTTGTGACAAATACATCTGCCACCGTCCCAGGAATCCTCACCCACCCTCCTGGACGTAGAACTTTGCAGTGAGTCTTCTGGGTCTGGCTAGTCTGCCTTTTTGCGGGGTTGCCCAAAACACACCTTCCAAGATCTTCCAAGCATGGAAGAGTTCCGCAGAACGACCTGGAAGAGGTGCCGAACTTGCTGAACACGTATGCATATATGTGCCCATCCCGTGAGCGGATCATGGGCATCCCTATCCTCCATGAAGCACTCTGACATGGATCTGCATGTGCCCTCCAACAATGATGCCCTAGGGATCCACATACCTTCTCAGAAGGTACGACTGGGCCCTCCTGGCCCCTACATAACAGTGTCTCCAATCACCGTACCTGACAAGGTACGACTGGATCCCTATAGGAATGGAACTTAGAAGACCACTCTCCTCTTCGAGAGGCAAAACTTTATCTGGACAAACATCTATATAACGATTCCACCCTAACCCAAGCCAACACACGTCCGAAACCAGGCGATCTCTGCTTCCACACCCAAACCGCTTCCTTTCACACCAGGCCACGCCCACGGGGCCGCCGCCGGGCCATGTGGTCCCGTGCTGCGCGGGCAGTTCGCACTTCGAGGCGCCTATGGGCGGCCGAACGGCGCGAGCCACGGCGCGAGCCGCGATGGGACGACGGGAAGACGTTCTCCCCGGTGGTCCGGGCGTGCACCGGTGGACGAAAGCGATGTGAGGCTGGTTTTGGGATGAAGAGGGACAATAGCTTGTCACATGTTGGAAGCGACGTCGGTGTGAGGTAAGAGACCACCGATGTAGTGAATTTCGCAGAAGATCCAGGTCACTTGCAAGGGAGACCAGTCACCCAAGGTTTACACCGAATGCTTTTGGTCAAATCCTCAACCCTGGGAGTCCAGGTCTGACTATGTTTAAAAGAAATGGTTGACTCATAAACCCAGGTGATCCCCGAAGTTCCAAATGTCCGTAAAAACACATCAGTGAGTCGCCAACATTCATATCCTCAAACTGGACAAACGCTCGTGGTTTTCACAGTGGTGAGCACGTTCCCTCAAAAGTCTTTGGATGTCCAGGGGTTTGGATTTTTTAAACCTCGTACCTGGTTCTTCAAAGTGACCTTTTGATAACCTGGTTTGAGGTCACTTAAGCCTCCTAAGGGTCACTTGGGAACCTTCAAAAGGTCACTTTGAAGAAGCTGGTAGAGTTGTTTTGCTTATGTTTTTTCGCCAAGTGGGTCTGGAGACACTACCTGGAGTCGACCTGTTCATACCTCAGAAAATGGGGGCCTAGTATCTATTCTTCCATTTTCTAGGGTACTTAGGAGAGTCCAGGTAGGTTTTCTGGCGCCACTTTCTGTTTGAACATGAAGGCTACACAAGCCAAAAGTGGTGCATCTGAGTCGATCACATCATGACAACATCCCCCGGGGCATCAAATTCAGATCTTCATCATCGATGTTGTTTTTACTTGAGAGAGGAGGTGAACGAAAGGTAGCAAGGTGCAGAATCCCGTGTAAGTACCGTCGCTTTGTGCCACTTTGATGCATCTAAACACGGCAAAAGCCCTTTCCGCCACAAAAAAACATGTAAATAGCGTGGTTTGAGGCCACTCTTGAAGATAGGAGGAACTGAAAACACATGAAAACGCTAGTATTTACGGTGTTTTGTGGCCACTTTGAAGCATACACTGCCCAAAACCATCGCTTCGTTGGACATTGCTTCGAGCTGCCAGCATGTCAATCTTCGTACAGAAAGGGTTGGTGATAGAGGGCAATAGCTGATATAACGTAAGAATACTTTCAATGTGGCTAGGCCCCAGAAACAACACTCCGCCCCTTCAGATATGGCAGGGCTGGCCTTCATAATGTTGGATCACGATTAGTAAGCCGGTCCGCAATAATGCTAAAATTTTCCAAAACCATTCAGGACCCCCTGTTTGAAAAAGTGGTCCTGAATAATGCTAATTTTTTTGGGGCCCTAAAATTTTTATATTGGAAACCTAATTAATAAGGGTTTCTTCAAAACTGACAGGTTTCTTCAAAACTGACAGCTGACCAAAACCACCAATTCCTAATTAAACCCTTTATAAAACATTGCTCCTAAACAAATTTTCAAGGTAGTAGACCAGGAAGGCACCTGATCCTCAATAATAGATTTGTTTTGGGGTTCTCAATTGTGAAAAGTTTTTTTCCACTGGAAAAAACTGTTCATGGAATCTTCCTTTACTTAGCTCTGGAGGCCAATGATTATGATTCATTAGCTGATATAGCTTTCTCTAGGTTTCTTCAAAACTGACAGCTGACCAAAACCACCAATTCCTAATTAAACCCTCTATAAAACATTGCTCCCAAACAAATTTTCAAGGTAGTAAGTAGACCAGGAAGGCACCTGATCCTCAATAATAGATTTGTTTTTGGATTCTCAATTGTGAAAAGTTTTTTCCACTGGAAAAAACCTGCTCATGGAATCTTCCTTTCCTTAGCTCCTGAGGCCAATAATTATGATCCATTAGCTGATATAGCTTTCTCTTGAGCTGAAGATCTGAGGTTGCAAAGCAAAAGGATTGCTGAGAACAATCACAAGGCACCTGAGAAAGGAAGCTGAATACAATCTATGAAAGGACAATGAATACTACAATCAATTACAAAAGGAATCCTCACAGGAATCAAGATTTGTTTTGGGGGTAGTTCATTATAGAGGAACCCCATTTGTTTGAGGGGAGGGGGGGGACCCCCCTTTACTAATCAGGATCAAACATTATCGCTCAAAGATCACACCTTTTTGGCTTTGAGCAAAAGGTGACAAGGAGGATTGTCGCCCCAGTTCCAAGTTCCAGAAACGCGGGTTCCCTGCCCCAACCCCCCAAAACGGACTATCGCTTTGTACCTTGCGTGAGGGCTTTTCCAGGATTTGCTCTGCTTTTTCTAGATAGTTCTGTGGTTGTCTAGGACCTCCGTGTTGTCTTTTTGGGTTCCCAAAATTTCCAAGAAAAATGCTAACCCATTTGCCGTGCTCTCTTCTGCCTACTTTGGTGATGCAGTGACAGATCATGTTTTTGGGTGTTCCGTGTTGTTTTTTGGGTTCCCCGATTTTTCGGAAAAACACTTAACCCAGTAGACCTAGGCCATCCACTTCCCTGGGGGTCGGCGGCTGCCAGGCGCTAGCCTAGTAGTCCGGGCGCCGGCCACGCGCACGTTCCCTTGCCGGAGGCCTTCGGTTGGTAACCGAAGGTTATATACGCTCGCCGCCCCTGCCGCCGACCCTTTTGTTGAGCCGCGTGTATACCTCAGGTCGACCTCCGCCCGACCTCAGACAGATTTATATGTATCTTGCGCAGGATGTTGAAAAAATGTTCAAAAACATCGTCTTTTTACAGTGTTTCGTGGCCTTCGGCGGATACGACTTTCGCCTAACGGGGCGCCGGTGGTGTCGGTTATGCGTGCCGCGCGGACAGGCTTATTCGACATTTCGTGGGTGTTGGGGACATAAGCTGCCTCACATTTCCCCAACGTAGTCCGAAGATAACCAACATATGCCCAACATAGCCTCCAAGATTGCTCAACATAGGGCCAACATTGGCCGACATAAGCCTAACAGAGGCCAACCTAGGCCCAACCTTGGCCAACATAGGCCTAACATAGGCCGACCTAGGCCCAACATAGGCGCAACTTGGGCCCAAGACGTGCTCAACATAGACCATAGACCCAACATAGGCCCAACCTAGGCCAACATAGGCCTAACATAGGCCGACCTAGGCCCAACATAGGCTCAACTTGGGCCCAAGACGTGCTCAACATAGACCACATTGGGCTCAACTTGGCCCAACCTAGGGCCAAGATGCGCACCAGATAGCTTAACTTTGCTCAATATAGGCCCCACCAACTCTCAAAGAGAGAGAGAGAGAGGAGAGACAGAGAGAGAGACAGGACCCAGCCCTGCACATACCCAAACCCAAATAGGCCGGCGCCCGGCTGTCAGGCGTAAGCCTCATAAATAGTAGTCGTCGTCGTAGTCATAGTAGTAGCAGTAGTCGTAGTAGTAGCAGTAGTAGTAGTAGTAGGAGTCGTGCTAGTTGTGGCGGCACCTGTAAAAGTAGAAGTTGCTCGTTTTTTTGCGCGGAATTCCCTGATCCAGCAGCTCGTTAAGCTGTTACAGCAATTCTTCTTTGTCTGATAGCTCACATGACAGCTGACAGGCTATGGCTTTCAATTTTGCAACGTATACCCGCCCTTCGTCGCCTTTGCGGACTTCCAGGTCCTGCGCGGTTGCGTTGTTGGAGCTTAACCTGAACTGTTCTTTGTTGTCCTTGTTATATGGCTGTCTTCAACAGATCTGCTGCGCCATGTATGGAATTCCCATCAACTTCTCTCCATGGCCACAGTAGAAATAACATGGTTTCCCTCTGCACCCATCCCAATCGAAGCAACTTGTGCACTTTCCGCTGCTGTGTCAAGGCAATGATCTTGAATTATGAACCAGTACCGCTTTCAAACAATGTTCAATGTAAAAGTTCTTTGCGTCCACATTGAACGCATCTCGCACCCGGCCTGCACCACTCTTGAAGATAGTAGGAGCTGAAAACACATGAAAACACTGACATTTACGGTGGTTTGTGGCCACTTTGAAGCATACACTGCCCAAAACCATCGCTTCGTTGGACATTGCTTCGAGCTGCCAGCATGTCAATCTTCGTACAGGAAGGGTTGATGATAGAGGGCAATAGCTGATATAACGTAAGAATACTTTCAATGTGGCTAGGCCCCAGAAACAACGCTCCGCCCCTTCAGATATGGCAGGGCTGGCCTTCATAATGTTGGATCACGATGAGTAAACCGGTCCGCAATAATGCTAAAATTTTCCAAAATCATTCAGGACCCCCTGTTTGAAAAAGTTGTCCTGAATAATGCTAAATTTTTTGGGACCCTAAAATTTTTTATAATGGACACCTAATTAATAAGGGTTTCTTCAAACTGACAGGTTTCTTAAAAACTGACAGCTGACCAAAACCACCAATTCCTAATTAAACCCTCTATAAAACATTGCTCCTAAACAAATTTTCAGGGTAGTAGACCAGGAAGGCACCTGATCCTCAATAATAGATTTGTTTTTGGGTTCTCAATTGTGAAAAATTTTTTCCACTGGAAAAAACCTGCTCATGGAATCTTCCTTTACTTAGCTCCTGAGGCCAATGATTATGATCCATTAGCTGATATAGCTTTCTCTTGAGCTGAAGATCTGAGGCTGCAAAGCAAAAGGATTGCTGAGAATAATCACAAAGCACCTGAGAAAGGAAGCTGAATACAATCTATGAAAGGACAATGAATACTACAATCAATTACAAAAGGAATCCTCACAGGAATCAAGATTTGTTTTGGGGGTAGTTCATTATAGAGGAACCCCATTTGTTTGAGGGGAAGGGGGGGGGACCCCTTTACTAATCAGAATCAAACATTATCGCTCAAAGATCACACCTTTTTGGCTTTGAGCAAAAGGTGACAAGGAGGATTGTCGCCCCAGTTCCAAGTTCCAGAAACGCGGGTTCCCTGCCCCAACCCCCCAAAACGGACTATCGCTTCGTACCTTGCGCGAGGGTTTTTCCAGGATTTGCTCTGCTTTTTCTAGATAGTTCTGTGGTTGTCTAGGACCTCCGTGTTGTCTTTTTGGGTTCCCAAAATTTCCAAGAAAAATGCTAACCCATTTGCCGTGCTCTCTTCTGCCTACTTTGGTGATGCAGTGACAGATCATGTCTCTGGGGGTTCCGTGTTGTTTTTTGGGTTCCCCGATTTTTCGGAAAAACACTTAACCCAGTAAACCTAGGCCATCCACTTCCCTAGGGGTCTGCCAGGCGCTAGCCTAGTAGTAGTCGTCGTCGTCGTCGTAGTCGTAGTAGTAGCAGTAGTGGTAGTAGCAGTAGCAGTAGCAGTAGCAGTAGCAGTAGCAGTAGCAGTAGTAGTAGTAGTAGTAGTGGTAGTAGTAGTAGTAGGAGTCGTGCTAGTTGTGGCGGCACCTGTAAAAGTAGAAGTTGCTCGTTTTTTGCGCGGAATTCCCTGATCCAGCAGCTCGTTAAGCTGTTACAGCAATTCTTCTGTGTCTGATAGCTTACATGACAGCTGACAGGCTATCGCTTTCAATTTTGCAACGTATACCCGCCCTTCGTCGCCTTTGCGGACTTCCAGGTCCTGCGCGGTTGCGTTGTTGGAGCTTAACCTGAACTGTTCTTTGTTGTCTTTGTTATATGGCTGTCTTCGACAGATCTGCTGCACCATGTTTGGAATTCCCATCAACTTCTCTCCATGGCCACAGTAGAAATAACATGGCTTCCTTCTGGAGCCATCCCAATCGAAGCAACTTGTGCACTTTCCGCTGCTGTGTCAAGGCAATGATCTTGAATTATGAACCAGTACCGCTTTCAAACAATGTTCAATGTAAAAGTTCTTTGCATCCACATTGAACGCATCTCGCACCCGGCCTGCACCGCTACCTTTCGTGACATGGGCCAAAGGGAGAATGGACAAGCACTGAGAACGATGAATTCGACATATGTCCAAGCATTTCAAACAGGCCTCCATGTCACAATGTGTTAAAACCTTTGAGATCCTTTGAGACTTGAGAGAGGAGGGGGTGAATGAAAGGTAGCAGGGAATCAGGCGTAACCCTGGAAACACTAGTATTAACGGT